ATAGGGGGCGGGGGGCAGGCTGTTTGGGGAGGCACAGCCTTCCCTACCTGGCCCTCCATACTGTTTTGCAATCCCGATGTGGCCCTCGGGCCAAAAAGTTTGCCCACCCCTGTGTTATAGACTGGCTGGTGCATTTGTCTTTTTATCAGCTCATACGTTTTGGGCATGTATTAATACTAGGATAATCTTTTTCTGAAGCTGGATCACTGGGGGTATCTTACCTATCCACTGGATAATGTTTATCAGCTGCAGTTATTGTTGACAGTTTATTGGCTTCAGAATTGGTATTAGTGTTGATAAACAAAACAATATGAATGGGGATTCACAATGAGGGTGAAACTTGCAATTGGAACTTCATAGAAAACTAATGGAAAAATCATGATACAAATGTCAAGTGAAGGAAAAGTTGCACACCTGGATTTCAGTGCTCAAATCCTAAAAAAAGAAGTGCCAGAACACATTATTTTGACAAGCCACAACATCACATGCTTTAGTAGTCATTTTCCAATATTTTTAGCATGAATAATTACTGGTTTACTTTACAACTATCTGAAGTACTGGAACATCATTCCAGCTCCCCAAAAAAGTGCCAGAATGGCATTCTGGAGCGTTCTGTCCTGATTCAAGCAATGCTTGATTTTTGTCTCTTTAAAATATGAGGGTGTTTTCTTTTGAAATGAACATTTTGAGCCTATCCATTGCATCTTCTGCCTTAGGCCTTGTCTACTCTGCCACTTTACAGCGCTGCAACTTTCTCACTCAGGGGTGTGAAAAAACATCCCCCGAGCACTGCAAGTTTCAGCACTGTAACATGGCAGCATAGACCGTGCTACAGTGCTGGGAGCTACTCCCCTCATGGAGGTGGGGTTTTTTTTATAGCGCTGAGAGAGCTTTCTCCCAGCGCTGGTGCTGCGACTACATAGCCAGTGCTTTAACGTTGCTAGTGAAGACATGCCCTTAGAATCATCCTTTTCAGCCTGATTCCCTCATTTGTTTAAATTCAGTTTATGTGCTCACTTCATATCTCATGTTTCCTACCACCTGGTCTTTCTGCCACAAATATGAAATTGCAATTAGTCTGGCATTCTATGACAGCACACGCTTATCTTTCCTTCTACTCTTACATTAATTCATTTATAAAGATGCAGTTATTCGTCAAGTATCAGAGGGATAGCCGTGCTAGTCTGGATCTGTAAAAAGCGACAGAGTCCTGTGGCACCTTATAACTACCAGACATATTGGAGCATAAGCTTTCGTGGGTGAATACCCACTTCGTATTCACCCACGAAAGCTTATGCTCCAATACGTCTGTTAGTCTATAAGGTGCCACAGGACTCTTTGTCAGTTATTTGTCTGTTAATTATATATATTTTTCATGGGTATCTTTAGAAATATTGAACAGAGGTATATATGTGCACCTTAAAGAGCAGATGCTCTGAAAAGTTAAGAACTGGCTCGTGTTTTCTGAACAAGGGCAGTGAGATAGATGTCCTTGCCATGAGTGAAATTGCTAAAGAATGTAGAATGCATATACATTTATTTTGGTATCTTTTACACAGAGGAAGAATGTTAGATTCCTTGTGCCCATCAGTTGCATGTTACTCATGACTCTGTCTTTTCTCTTCATGGGCAGGTTCCCGTCAGGATCACCCTCCTCATGATGGACAGTCTCCTGCCAGCCGAGAGCGTTCTTCCTCACTTCAGGGTATGGACATGGCCTCACTGCCACCACGCAAACGTCCCTGGCACGATGGACCAGGGACATC